ACAGATGGTGGAGAGATCAAGCCACGTTTTGTCAACCAGCAAATGTCACTTTGGAGCATGAAATCTCTTTTTCATACCCTTATTAAAGAAATTGTAAGAAAATTAAAAGAATAAAGGTGGTCCTTGACTTACAACCGTTCCCTTAGTGACCGGTCAAAGTTACAACGGCACTGAAAAAAGAGACTTGTGACTTTTTTCACACTTATGACCACTGCAGCGCCCCCCCCCAAGTCACGTGATCAAAATGCAGATGCTTAGCAGCTGACTCATATTTAAGACGGTTCCAGTGTCCCGGGGTCATGGGGTATCCTTTTGCAACCTTCTGGCAAGCAAAATCAATGGGGGAAGCCAGATTCACTTAACAACGGTGTTACTAACTTAACAATGATTCACTTAACAACAGTGGCAAGAAAGGTCGTAAAATGGGGCAAAACTCACTTAAATGTCTCGGTTAGCAACAGAAATTTTGAGCTAAATTGTGGTCGTAAATCAAGATTACTTGTAGACATCTTAACTAAAGGAAAATCATAAATAGAAGAAGAAAAGGTTTAGATTCCAATCTTCTTAACAGTGATTAATGCATTTCTATTTTAAATCATAAGTGGGGGTTTTTTTTCTTCCTTCAGCAAAAAGCCCATAAGGGGCTTTCGATCACTAATGAATGGAATTATTTCCCTTTCCCTAATCAGACAAGTTCATTTTCCGATCCAGAGCCTTTCCAACGTTTGTGCCTATAACAATGTTACAGCAGTTATTATACACAAAAATAATGTTCTGCAGCTCTTTTCTCATTGACTCTCCATTACGTCCAGCAAACAAAAACCCAAAAACAACAACAACCCCTTTCTGTTGAATGTTGATGTTTAAAAATCTTTATATCACTATATTTATTTGAACCCCAAATTTCCTGGCTGTTTTTTTTTTTTTTTTAACTCCGGAAGCTAAACATCTCAATGCGGTATCCAGACCTACCTTTGCCAACCAGGGAGAGAGCACGGTTTTCGGTTCTGAAGGATCCCTTGCCCTGGTTCATAGGCTGGCCAGGTGGACAAATGGCTGCTACTTGAATGTACCTAAGGAGGATGAAAATAAGCCAGTTGCTTTCCTCACCATGAAAGCACTATGAAGCGGTATATAAGTCTAAGGACTATTGCTGTCTTCTTTCAGTGGCAGAATCTTTCTTTCAGCGTTGGCAACAGGACGCTATTTTCCATTGTACCTCAAAGACAACAGATTAAGGGAGGGTGGATAGAATGGTCCACTTTAGTGTTTCTCTGCCTCTTAGCTTTAAGATGTGTAATGTGGACATCAACTCTCAAAATTCCTCAGCCAGTCACGTTGGATGGGATCTTCTGAGAGCTGAAGTCCACGCATCTTAAAGTTGACAAGGTTGAGAAAAACCGGTCTACTCCAACATTTGCTACTGCCTCCCAGCATATGCAGTTGAAAAGGGCACCCTCATTTTTTTTTATCATGGTAGAGGTTTTCCTGTATGATGCTCAAGATTACTAGGTGATTTCCAAGACCTGAGTATCTGATGCCGAAACCTACTAGTTTAGGCCACAAAATTACACAAACAGATGTGGCACCGCAGAAAAACAATTACTACCAACTGCCTTCCATGGAGGACCTGTATTCTGCATGAGTCAAAAAGAGGGCTGTGGAAATATGTACAGACCCCTCACATCCTGGACATAAACCGTTTCAACTCCTTCCCTCAAAATGACGCTATAGAGCCCTGCACACCAAAACAACTAGACACAAGGACAGTTTTTTCCCAAAAGCCATCCCTCTGCTAAACAAATAATTCCCTCAACACTGTCCAACTATTTACTAAGTCTGCCCTACTATTGCTATTATTCCCATCACTCCTTATCGCCCATCCCCTCCCACTTGTGACTGTATGTCTGTAACTTTGTCACTTGTATCCTTACGATCTATATTGACTGTTTCCTGGAATGATTTGATTGCTTATTGTACCCTATGACTATTATTAAGTGTTGTACCTGATGATTCTTGACGAATGTATCTTTTATTTTATGTACACTGAGAGCATTTGCACCAAGACAAATTCCTTGTGTGTCCAACCACACTTAGTCAATAAAGAATTCAATTCAATTCTATAAGATGGGCTAGCTGAGGCAGAGCTACTCACCACATATTTCTGTTTTTTCTGAGATGAGATCTTCACAACAGGCAAGTTTTTACCAATTATACTTTGAGAAGATCGATGAAATGAGACCCTGAGGTACAACAAGAAACTGGAGCTGGAGAACTCAAGATCAAAGGGAGGCCGAGTTACACAGACTCTCCAATCCCAGTTCACACCCCTCTTTTCACTGCCCCAATTCTCAGAAACAACTGATAGTCCATGACTTACAAGTTTATTTCATGACTGTTCAAGGTTACGTCATTGGAAAAGTGACTTATGACCGTTTTTCACACTTCGACCATTTCTCAAAATTCAGCCGCTTGGCAATTGATTCATACTTATGATGCATCCCAGGGTCATGTGACCGTCTTTTGCGACCTTCTGACAAGCAAAGTCAATGGGGAAGCCAGATTCATTTAGCAAACTTAACAAAGCACTGATTCACTTAACAACCGTGCCAAGGCAGATCATAAAATAGGGCAAAATTCATTTAACAACTATCTCGCTTAGGAGTAGAAATTTTGGACTCTATTGTAGTCATAAGTCGAGGACTACCTGCACAAGGTGACCCAAGTTTATCCCCACTGTCGCTGACATGCCTTTTTAATTTCCAATATTCTCTAACCAACAGAGCTGATGCACACAGGTTTCTGTGCTTAGCAACATGAACTGCCTTTCATACAATCCTTCTTACCCATATTGGCAGGTTTTTTAAAAAATATAAATTTCCTTATGTTTTTTCTCATATTGACGAAAGGCCTTAACATGCAAATAGTTTATACACAAAAAAATGTATATAATTCAATTTCCATTAAAATTGCTTTTATATATATATATTTATATTTATATTTTCCCAAGTGCTGATTTTTTATAGACTAGAACAGATGTTAGCAGGTTCAATTCATTCTATGTTGCAGCAGAAACGGTTTTAAGAGGTTTGAAATCCATTCCTAAGATTGCTTTTCTGCACCTGAATCTCCGAATGAGCTAGGCAACCACTCCCATTGTCACCAATCCACGCAGCCAACGGTTATACTTTGATAATTATGGAAATTAAGAGGGTAAATATAGAATTCATTGCAGTTACCTTTTATCAGTTTCTAGATTGCCAGACCTAGAATATTAAGAGAGAGAGGTACATAGGTTAATTTCCCCAGGAACTTTATTTTTAAAAGCTCCAATTCAACAATGCAAACTATGCAAAGAAGGGCTCTTTAATTATGCCTACCCCCCACCCCCCAAAAACCCGATCATCAGCAACCGGTAGCAGCCCATCCACTCTTAAGAAGAGACTGGACTGCCATTTGTCAGAAATGGTGTAGGGTCTCCTGCTTGGGAGAGGGGTTGGACTAGATGACCTACAAGACCCCTTCCAAGATCCCTGTTAATCTGTAATCAGGCATTTCCACTACCTGCAATTCGAATTACCCGCAGAAATCAGACCAACTAGGTGGGCAGGGCGACATTTTTCCGACAGCCAATCAGGGACGTGATACCTGCGGCGGCCCCGCCCACGAGGCGGACCATGCAGAGACGTCGAGGAAGGAGGCGCTTGCGCAGTGAGGTCACCGTAGGGGCGGGGCTCGCATAACCCATCCTGGCTGGCTGGAAGCATAAAAAGGCGGCTTCCCGCCCTTCCCAGACTGTCGGGAGTTGTAGTTCAGCGTCGCCGTCAGGTTCACCACAGCGCTTACAAAGCCAAGGCCTGCAAGGACCGACCGCTGAACGAAACCCGCCTCTTCGGCGTGACAAGCTTACCAACCCGGACGGGGGCCTTATATTGCCTACTTTCCTCACTTCAAGCGCCATTCCGAAGCGGACTCACCCGATAAAAACGGAGGGGCGGGCCTCCATGGCCGCGGAGACGGGAACAGCCGCGGAGGCTGTTGACGGAGAGGTCGCCACGGCAACAGGCTCCGCCCCTCGACGCTTTGAGCGAGGCTACCGCGCCCTCTAGTGGCGTCCCGCGGTAGCGCGCGGGGCAGTTATTAACGGTGGGGGCTTTTTTTTCAGCGAGAGGGGGCTTGGGATGCTTGCACAGGCGGGGGGGGGGAAGGGGGGGGGGTAGGAACCTTAACTGGCCGTGTTTCGAGGAAGGCTTCCAGGCTAATGCGCGCAACTTGCAAAACCACCGGATTCTCCAATTTTCTTACATTTCTTACATTCGTGCGTCTGCAAATGCAGCTTTGCAAGGAGGGAGAGGCCGTTTAAACAGGCCTTTCATAGAAAGCATGTGTGTTTGGGGTGGGTGGGTGGTGTTCGTGTTGCAAGGGACGGGACAGGGTAAACAATAGTCTTCGAGACTGCATAGAGACACATCTCGCTAGCTTGTTTCTCTCGTCACAGCTGATTCGCAGCTAATTGTGCGATGGGGTTGTGTGTGTTTGCTTTTTTTTTTTTAGAACATAGAATAATAGGATCGGTAAGGAACCTTCGAGGTCTTCTAGTCCAACCCCGTGCTCACACGGGAAACCCTGTAACTTCAAAGCCACAGGATCTCTTCCGACCCGCTTTCTCATCTCGTGCGTGATTTATTTGCTTAAAGAGGAATTCACCCCGGACATTTCAGCGCTGGCTTTGAAAGCTCCTAAGCCTCTTTTATATGCCGTCTGGTACTCGCTATCCCGACGTCCTTTGCGACGCAGCTGACTGGGCGGGGCCCTCCCTCGCGCGGCCTTTCTTGGGATCTGTAGTCTCCGCTTCGCTCGAGTTAGCCTGGCTTGAGGGCAGAGCTGGACTCTCTTTCCCGTCATGCCGCGCGCCTCCATTGTGGCCGAGCCCGCCTCCCATTGGACGGCCGAGGAAAGGGAGCCCGCTCCCGTCCCGCTGACACCATAGTGGATCCAAGATGGCGGATGCGGGTGCAGCGAGCTTACCTGGGGGAGACTCGGCGCTGCCGCCGCCGCCTCCTCCTCCCCCGCCGCCTCCCCCGCCGCCGGAGGAGCAAGAGCTGAGCCAGCGCCTCCGCCAGCTCTACCCGGCCGTCAACCCTGCCGAGACGCCGCTGCCGCGCGCCTGGAGCCCCAAGGACAAGTATAGCTACATCGGCCTCTCCCAGGGCAACCTCCGTGTTCACTACAAAGGTGGGGGAGAAGGCCCCGTTTCTCTGCCTGAGGGGGGGGGCGGAAATGGCGGGGCTTTCGCCTGAGGGAGCCAAGAAGGTGGCAGGGGAGGGGAGGCGTTATGAAAAAAAATATGGGCTTCTGAAACCTCTGAATTTTGTGGCTGGATAATTCTGGGATTTGAAGTCTTCTAGGGCAGAGCAACAGAAGCACACAGGTGTTTTTCTTGGATGGTCCCAGAGAGAGAGGTGGGGGGGAGACCCAAAGCCCAACCTTTGAAGTAAAGTATCCTTTGGGGCAATATTTCTCAATCTTCACAGGTTGAAGATGGACAAAACCCTCTGCCGTGGTTGAGAAACACTGCCCCAAAGTAGAATTTTACCCTAAAGGATGGGCTGGGAGCCTCTCTGTCTGGGACAATAACAGGAGATCAGCTATGTCTTTCTAGGGCCCTGACCACCTTTAATGTATTTGTTGGAACATCTGTTTTATCTGTACGGGAGTGTATTCAGTTGTGGGCCTGGCTGGCTGGCTGGCTTTTGAAAAGCCTTGCTGCCTGATTGTTTTCACTGAAGAATTAAAGAGGTTTTTGACCTGTTTTCTGCCTCTTTCTCTCCCTCTGTTTAAACCAGGACATGGGAAAAATCACAAGGATGCTGCTTCTGTCAGGGCTACCCACCCCATCCCTGCAGCCTGTGGAATTTATTATTTTGAAGTGAAGATAGTTAGTAAAGGAAGAGATGGGTAAGTATGTGGCTCAATGCGTATTCTGTTTGTTGTCTTTGGCAAGAATTGGAGCTGACTTTACCATCTGTACTTACATTTGGTAGGAATGTGACTTGTGGCTTTGGGAAAGGATGAGTGAGTCATGCCTTTGTAGTAGGACGTTGCACCAGCAGCCTTTCAAAACAAGGAGTTGAGATCATTTTAGGGGGGTTGGCTTCTGGTTCATTAGAGGGAGGATGAAGCTATGAATCAAGTTCAACTCCAGTTCAGATTTTTAAAAACTGGTTTGACTTCCTGCTATCAAATACCAAACCAGTGATATAAACTAAGATGAGACATGATGGTTTGGCCTGTTTTTATTGGCTGTTCTAGGTAATTATGTTTACCTCTTAAAATTCCTATGCGGCTTTTTGATGGATTAAATCTGAAATCCAATATACTATATATAACAGTTACTGCAAAGAAAGTAGTAGAAATCCCTTCCTATAGCTGTTTAACTAGAATTATTTCCTGGCTACCAAATTATTTTACATATTGCTACATGTTGACCAGATGACCACAGAAAGATCCTCATACAGTGCTGGTTCACAGGTTTGAATCAGGGATGAGTGGAATATAAAATCAGCAGGGATTCTTTTCCCTCCTATATAAAATGATTTGTAAAGAAATGGGTACGTACAATGGGTAATTCTTTGACATAAGATAATTGATCTAGATAGTTTACAACATTGAGCTGATTGAATTGTTGATCCCTCAAAAAAAAAAAATCGGAACTTGCATAAAATAATTTTCAGTATATTTCCTATTGTAGGTTCAATTATTCTGGCTCTGGCCTAGTCTAGTTATCTTTATTGCTACTATTTTACACTAAGTTTGGAGCTAATGGCTAATACAGGTAGTTCTTGACTTGCAACAGTTCATTTAGTGACTGTTCAAACATAAAACAGCACTGAAAAAAGTGACATGACCATTTTTCACAGTTACGACCTTTGAAGTATCCCCATGGTCATGTGATCAAAATTCAGATGTTTGGTAATTGGTTCATACTTATGAACATTGCTGTGTCCCAAAGTCAGGAGATCCTTCCGACAAGCAAAGTCAGTGGGTAAACCAGATTTACTTAACAACCAAGTTATCAACTGCAATGATTCATTTAACAACTATGGCAAGAAAGGTTGTAAAATGGGGCAAGACTCCCTTAACAAATGTTTCACTTAAGTTTTGGGCTCAATTGTGGTCCTATGCCAAAGACTACCTGTACTCTGGAACTTTGACAGATTACATATCTTTTGGGAACCCTGGTATAAAACAGATTGATTTTAGTCTTTGAAATATAATGTGTTGATAACAAACTTGAATGCTAAGCCAAACACTAAGCCATGCTTTAAGCAAATTTGATTACTCGATCAACCAAAAATTATTCCTGTAGAATGACAAACAGTCCAGTTTGGGAAAGGGGAGAAAAGTATGTTCATAATGTGAAATCAAACTAAATTGTCTTGCTTTAAAGAATTTGGGTGTTGTAATGTTAATGATGAGATCACATACATGGCCAGCAAGATATTGCAAATCACAAGGGTGGAAAGATCGGATACATGTCTCCTGACTGCAGTGCACATTTTTATATGCATCTTTGCCCCAGTTATTACAGTGAGGAATTGGATGGATTATTCTTGGATATCTACTTTTTTAGGCACTGCTGAATTGCTACAGGGACTTTAAGAAACTACATAGTTTCAATTGTTTGGTGTTTGGAGAAGAAATAGAAATGGCTAAGAACATTTACATTTGTTTCTGATCACCTTTGTTATGTCTGGAAGGAGTTGCTCATAATTGTCTTGATACTGTGTTTCATACGCTAGTGTAAAGTTTAGCCCAAATCCAGTTCTTCTGTACCTTTTTGTTGATGTAGAGAGACTTATTTCAATATTGCTTCTACATACTTTTTTTTACAGTAACCTTTTTACTAAGATTATAACTTTTTTGCTAAATCAGGAAGTGGGAAGCTCAGGGCATATTGACACAGCGTGTCAGGATGCTTCGGATAGCTTCAATTACCATCTTCATGAATGGAGGCTTTAGTACCTGGACAGAGAGTATGCTTTTACTCTGAATAATAAACACATTTTTAAAAAACTATTCATGGTGCCCAGAATAGATTTGTGGTTAAAAAAACAGATTGGAATGAGGCATTGTTGTATTGTATTTCCAGCAAATACCATCCAGTTTTGAGTACTGTGCTTTTTCTAATATATAAAGGGTTTGGGCTAGTTAATTTTGATGGATGTATAAAACAACTATATAAGTTTGAAAATTCAAGGGTAATGATAGCAGATTCTAAATTAGCAGTGGTACTTCTGTGCTTTAAATGCTGCCAAAGGGGGCAAATTTAATTCATTATACAATTCCCAGAATGGTTATAAGAAATTATCATTAACTAGGTTAATGCATTCCCTTACGGGGCCCATGATTGCTGCACAGTTGGTTTATGACCCATGGTGATACGAAGATTGTTCTGCAAAGCCATTTTTAAAATTTTGTACCTATCAGAAAATAGATGCATCGTACTGGTAGCTCAGTGGTCAGGAATGATGTAATGGTCAGATTAGAAAATATTGAGAAATATTTGTACTAGATTTACACTGTGGCTTTCCTCCAGAATCTCAAAGTAGCTTACATGGGAATGGTCACAACACATTTTGAGGTATGTTGGTTAGCGAAAGAGCAACTGGTCCACATACCCTGGCTGTAGATGGACTTGAACCTGACTAGAGTGTTTCTCAATCTTGACAACTTTAAGAAGCGTGGACTTCCAATTTCCACAATGTCCTAGGCAGCCTACTGGCTGGGGAATTTTAGAATTATGAAGCTTGAAGCTGCCAAGATTGAAAACCCTGCTCTAGTATTTTATTCCATATTTTATTTTCAATCCCATTTGCTAATTAGTCAACCTGCCCCAGGTGCCTAATGGAGCCACTATATTTCAGAAGAGCATTCCTAATCCTCTCTCCTGAGGATTAGGATTGCACCTGTGCAGCCTTTCTCTGCTCATCAATCCAGGGAAGTCCTTTGGTTCACTAAGGAAGCCCAGTAGAGGAAGGGGCAAAGGATATGCCTAGAGCGCTACTGGCAAAAAAGCAGAAAGTGAATCCAAGCAAATATAGGTAAGAACTTTCTTATGCTGATAAAAACAGCCAATCGTCATTATTTATTTGCTGTTACCTCATTATCTGATTGTCACCTTTGAGGGAAGGATGGTCTAGAACATTATAGGGGCCCTCTGAGAATTTTTGAGGAGCTGGAAGATAAGATCACTCAAATTTGCTCAGAACTGATGCCAGGAAGGCAAGTTCTGTGGGTGTGATTGAATCTCTCTCTCTCACAGCTTTATCTGGGATAAGTTTGGACCAGTTCCTCTTGAGGTGCGACAGGGTAACGTATGACAGCAGCTCAACAACTTGTCACCTGGATCCCTTTCTCTTCCTGGTTGGTGACAATCTCTAGGGAGGTGACAGAAGGCTGGGCTAGAGCAATGGTAAAGACACCCTTAAATGAGGGGATAGTACCCCCTCCCCTAAAGAAGGCAGTATTGTGCTTTCTCAAACCATCAGTTGGCACTGCAGTTAGACAGTTATCTCTAGTCTCCCCTTTTGGTTGAGTGCTGCAAAGAAGGTGTCGGACCAAGACTACATTGGTGATGCTCGTGGATGACCTTTAAAATGAGATCAAGATGGAGGGAGCGTGATCCCCCTGGTTCTGCTTAAGTTACTGGTTTTCCACGCCAACAGCCACGGTATCCTTCAGAAGTATTTCTTCGTAGTGGAAGTAGGGAGCTTTCATTATAACAGTTCTCCTTCCTGAAGGAGCAATTTCTGGTGGTATATTAGGAGGGGAGAAGTTGTGGTCAGTGGTCTCCAATTTGGGGGCTTGGCCTGGCTTGGGGATAGAGTGGCAGAGGGGAACTGGGTCATGCAAGCGATGGGCCAGTGTGCACATAGCCCTTGCCAAAGTGGCAGGCAGGTGTGCACACATGCAGCTTCACTTGAGCTGTGTGTGTACGCCTGCTCCAGCCAGCCATTCATGCGGCCCAATTCCAAATAGGCCATATGGCCTGGTAGTGGACTGGGGCCCAGGAGTTGGGGCGGGGGGGGCTGCTGTATGTCCCCACTCTTGCTCCACTTCTATAAGAAAATACCGGGCATGTGATCCAGTGACATAGGATGTGATATCAGTTGTATCCTAATGATGCCCAGTTTAATTATCTATGTGAACATCTGGTCAAAGAAGAGATTCTGATAAGATGAGGTGCAAGAGGCTCCCTCCAGTCCTTTCACTCAGGATATATCACCTTGTGGGGTCTCAAAGGTAGACTTTTTCAATCGCTGCTCCCTTCTTTCTAACAATATTCCTCTGAAATCTAAACCTAAGTGGGATTTTCAAAACAAACTGGCTTTTCCAGCAAGCTTTGAGACAAATGTGTTATGAAATAGTCAGCCTTGAAATTATGTTTGAAATTGAATTTTGTTTGTTACCTGGCATAAAGTCATGAATTGTTTCGCCTATCATTTTAGTGTATATTTTAAACTTATTTTATAGGCGCATAAGCTTCACAGAGTCAAGTTATGATTAAAGTGGCATGCAAGGCTAGTAAAAAGATATAAAAGGTAGCAATTATGAGATTGAAAGATGAAACTTGATTTATTAGTGATTCTGATGCTGCTTATTTCTAGCCATCTGTATGAACACTTGATTCATTCAGTCTGTATAATCAAAGACATTCTAAAGTCCAATTAGGATTTATCATAAATGAGAGCTAATTTAGAAAAGTAATTAGTGTACTATTTATGTTTATTATTTCAGTTATCAAAGTGTCTCTGTCTTTTGACAATTGAAAAGCTGTCATCTTAAAATGGACTATTGTTTGTCTTTAAAAATTATAAGTTACAAATACCAGATAACATTTAGGACAAATAAAAGCCAACAAGTTTTGGCGTATGTAGCAAGAGCTAAAAAGTGTCAAAGGCAAGAAAAATGAACAGTGAGCTGAAGAAGAGAGAGTATAGAAAGAGCTTCCTGAGTACGGATTATCAGTTCAGTCTGCATATGTTCCTAAGGGTTTCTGGAAGGCTGAATTTCTGTAATTGATAGCCAGAGCAAAGCTATATGACTACACTTTCTAATTTGAATGAGCTAATAGATAACATAGTGATGTTTTATTCAGGTTTGTTGACTGCATAACATTTAATAGAGATAGCATTTTTTAAATTCCCAGTACTTGCCTCCTTAAATTGTGGAATGGATATTTATGGTTTTTGATGCATTATTCTTATATGTGATGTGTCTGGCTTTAAAGACAAGAATTATCAATTCTTGTATCTTCAGAATGCTATGAAGCTTAGGTGCTGTAACATAATTACACAATCATAGATATCAGCCCTTGAATACAGCTGTTCCAGAGTATTAGAGGTACTTTGACGGATTTTGCTTTAGGAATTTATTTTTTAACCGTATTCATTTGACTGCTTAATGGAGCTGATCTAGTTTTGCCTCAGTTTCACATATGAAGTTGAAATAATAATGAACTTGTTACATGGTAGAGCTATTCATGCCTTGAAAATGATTCAGAAGAAATGTTTTGGCCTTCTCATGAATATATTTATTAATGTAGCATGCCTTCTCCTAGACTACTGGGTGATCTAGAAAGAAATCCCTGGCTGCTTTATTGAGCCAACTCATTAAATTTAATATAATTTTTAAAATGACCACCTCTATTTTTCAATCTTGTGAGGGCGCCTATATAAAGACAGACTGCTTTAAGTAGTCTGTGCTTTTACATTTTTTTTTTTAAAAAAAGGTTAATATTCCTGCAAGTAATGTGATGCTTGAAAATCTCCCTCCTTATAGTTGTGGTAGTATAGCACAGCCTTGTTTGTACTTATAACAACAGTAGAATTTCATTACATGGATTATGATCTCCTTCTATGAGAGCTACTGTCCCACAGAATGAAAGTTGCTAATACCCTGTACAATAAACAACATGAATTGTCTGACTGACTGTGTCATCTCTGGCATACAGTGTTTATAAACATTTTAGAAATGTTCACTTGAGTTACTCTGAGTTACAAAATCTGTTGCTCCAGCTCTTGTTTATAGAATGATGTGGCATATGTGTTGTTTCTGATAGAGGAGGGTGTTGAATACTAGTTGAAAAGCATTTTAACTTTTCTCATATTAAGTGAGCAATGCTTTTTCCCCCCCTTATCATAGTACCCACAGTTCTGGCAGGCTTCTAATGACCTGCACAAGAGAAGAAAGTGTGAAGTGTTCATTTGACATCCACAGCAGCTTTGGAAATGAATGAGTTCTAGTGTTGGCAGTTTATAACTGGGCTTTGTGGTATAAACACTTATTTTTGGAAAAATGAAGATATGAATTCATATCTCTGTGGTAGAGCAGTAAAAAACCTCACTCATCCACAGAATTCCAATAACTGAATAGAAGGTAAATTTTCATTATCCTGTTAACATACTAGCGTGAGGCATAGGAAGATATAAAAATATGCAGTGTACCATATCAGATCATATAGCTATGATTTTAAAAATATGCAGTGTACCATATCAGATCATATAGCTATGATTTTAGATATTAGGGGATGATTTCTACTTTTTGGAATTAAAAAATAATCTAAACTAGAAATCTCGGGGTTTGTTGGCTTTAGAACATGTCACTTTTATACTATTTTCCACCCATCCTCAAGATGCTACCAAAACTTTTAGTCTACGACTAAAGTCCTAATTTTAATGAGTCGGTGTTTCTGAACGTATGACTTGTAATAATAGTAATTAAGTTCGTGTGCAGGTTAATTCTTTTACGTTAGCATGTTTGTCCTATGAAGCATTTGAATAATCTACGCCTTTATAACCAATCTATCTGAATTGGGACCCCCTCCAGATGGACGAGCTTCAACTTCCAGAATTCCTCAAATGGACAGTTGCTGAGAATTCTGGGAGTTGAAGTCATTACATCTGGAGGGTGCATAGGTTGGATTAAGCATCCCACAGAGAAAGGCTTCATGGTGCATACTAACCATGGAAATAGGTGAGCTGAAGAACAGGATTTCTATTCCATTTAGCGGTGTCCTTAACCTTTTGTCTTGCTCTCTGGGGCACCTGAGAGTTGTAATTCAGCAACATCAGAACATTCTGTGCACCCAAGAAGACAGGATTTGCCAGACTGACGTTGTTCTGAGACAGAACAGAATATTTAAATGGGAAGATTAGATCGTCTTGTGAAAAACCTGTTTGTTCTGAATGAGTTTACCTTCTGTGTGCCAGCATGCAAACTTTCTGATTCTTTGGGAGCAGAAACTTGCAACCTTAATAATGTGAAGAAAAATTCCAATCGAATTTATTTCCATCATGTTCAGTTACATAAAAGGCTTTTACAATTTGTAAACATTAAAAATGCCCTAACCCTTGTAAAGCAGTTGTAAAGAGGAACTGTTCCTGCCAAGAGAAGATAACTTCTTTGAATTATCTCTAGTAGATGATGTACTCTACTTAGTCCCTGAAGGAGGAAATATCGCTAATGCAGCTGACGATGAAGTCTGTATACTCTGCTTTATCAGAGTTGCTTTCCTTTTCCTGAATGTTAATTCTGGTTTGGGGCAAAGCAGCAGGCTTACAATAAAAACAAACAGGCTTAAGCTGCATTATCTCCAAATCTTGTTTCTGAAAATTCTCCAGCATTATTTTACAGTTGTTGATCAAAATTATTTTGATATTTTCTGTTACATTTTAGTGAGGCGTAACATTTTTGTATCAGAGATAATAAGTTTTTCTATAAGGGAAAAGTTTGAGCGCATGAAGGTGGTTTGATTACAGGTCACAGTTGTTATCTTTGTTATATGTATTTTGAGAATTAGATGACAGTCTCCACTGAGGGAATGGTTTAACTTTCTCCCATTTGGGCTCTACTATTAGTAGTAGGGAAGAGCCCTTGTTATTTTGTTTGGAAATTCTCTTCATTTGCTAAACTAACAGATTTTTGTTTGTTTGAAGGTACATGGGAATAGGACTCTCTGCCCAAGGTGTCAACATGAACAGACTTCCTGGTGAGTCACTGCTGAGAATTATTTGTGTTTGCTCCTGAACTGTTTATTGGATTTCTACAATCCAGAAAGTGGGGAAAAAACGGTTATCCACGGGCAGACTTTTTTTTAAAAAAAAAAAACATCGCTTGGTTTAATAATTTGCTTAATGTAACCAATTGTATTTAAAGGCATAAAAACTTCTCAGGAAGATATCAGAGCCTTTCAACCTCCCAGGAACTCTTTAGGAGATACCTCAAACTGATTGCTTAACAACCACCTCAGGTGAAACATTCTTGAGGTCTTAAATATCAAAAGAGTGGAAGGCAGTCAGGCAAATACAGCAGATTTTGGACGCATTATGATTGTTAATTGATAGGGCATTCGTCATGTCTCGCGTGTAATCTGCATCACCAACCTCTCTTCCCTTTCCTTTGAGAAAAACTGGTCTAGCCACTCTATGCGCATCTGATGAAAAAGTTCATGAAAGCTTCTGCTTTAATCATCATTTGTTATTGAGGAAAAGGTGCTCTAGAACTTTTGATTTATATTTTTTTGCCACCAGGAATGAACACAGCTTTCCTACAGTCACTTGAACCAAAGCTTTGTTTCTACGGCTAGATATGATCTGCCCATCCTATATTTGTAAATTCATTACTTTGCCGCCCATGTGGCTGCGATGTTCATCCCCCAAATAGGTGAAGCTGAGTGTGCCAATCAGCTCTAGTTTTTTCTTTCTTCTTCTTTACTTCCATCATTTGCTCCTGAATCTTTTGTTTCTGTGCCTTTACCCCCAGGTCAGCCTCAGCCTCCCCCCAGCAGTGCTGGTTTTATTTCTGCATATTCAGCTTTTTGCTAATCTTTTGTGATTTTATACCCTCTTTAGATGGAGCAAGAATGGGTAACCCTTTGTTTAAGGTTCTTAGTTTATAAAATTTTCTTTGGGACACAGCAGATGAGGAAATAATGCAAAGTGGATGGGGGCCATGTGGCAGCTGAGAGGTTCCATTTTTTATTGGATTGTGGGGAATAGGAGGATTTTTAATGGTGATAAAGCTTTCCTGAAGTTATAGGTTATGCACGGACGGTTATAATGAAACATCGTCGTTCTTTACTGAAGCTGTTATTATAAAACTTTATAAAGCACATAAATGTATTGATGGAACTCTCATATATATGTAGATTTGATTTCTTGTTTTTCTTTTTCCTATTTTTTGTGTTTCTTTAAATACATGATGCAATTTGAAAATAAAACTACCAGATCTGGTGTACAAAAAACTTGGACCAATGGTTATTTTTAGCTATCTAGTGGCTGTCTGGATTTTTGCAAAGTCTGGACAATCACTAGATAGCTGCAACTAGTCCATATTTAGGACCTTTTAGCTCTAAAAAGTGCTAACAGTTTTCAGTCGTGATAATCCAAAAAGGCTCTAGCGCTATAGAAAAGTGAATTCAAGGATTGGGTGCAATTCTTGGTCACCAGATTTCCCACAATGAATTAGGATGCTTGGATTAAACTAGATGCTCATATTTATAGAACTGCCCGACTGTGCTATTTATTGATGGCAGTTCTATTGGATTGGCTGTTTTTCTAAAATGGAAAGTTTTGATGCCAACACAAACTTTTCTCTCTATTCTTTTTTCTCCCCAAATAATTTTAACCTTTTCTTTATTTAGAAAGCTTTGAAAACATTTTAAGGATCATTAAGAAAAGATAATCCCCTTGCTTTACAATCTAAAATAAAAATATATATCCCAATGGTGCTTTTTCCCCCCAAAGGGCAACTGGATTTTGTTTTTCCTTGAAAACATTTCATTTCTCATCCAAGAAAACTTCTTCAGTTCTGACTGAATGGTTGAGGATGGAAGGATTTATATTCCTTGCAGTCATCTGGTTGTTAGCATTCGTTCTGAGTGTCATTGAGGCCACTTGGATGACTGAGAATCTCCATACACAAGGAAAAGTATAATAAAGAAGGAAATTGCCAAACCGAGATGCCATTTCTTCAACAACTGCCTAAGTTGGGCAAGGGTTTAAATAATGATGATCTAGTAGCAGCTGTTTGGAGAATCCAAAACCTGTTGGGTTTTTTAGCTAATGAAATAACTTCTTCTCTTGGCTCCTTCAGCTTTTAGTCTCATGGAACAAGCAGCTTTATCACTGTAAATTGGAAGCAGATGGTAAAGTAATGTTACCCTAAGTTTTCAGGGAGATTTCCCTGTCTTGCAGTTTCTTGTTTGGCATCTGCCCAGCCCTCATTTTGCCTTTCTCTTACATTTCCAACATTTGGGAGTGAAACTGTTCAGAGTAGAGGGATTTATTTAGTCCTCGGCTGAGCCAATACATGTATCATACCTCCTCAGCGAAACGCACGTCCCATTGGAAATGATGCATATTTGGTTGTTTGTCCCAGCATTAGAAAACCTTTGGCAACAGGAATGGCATCTGGCATTATGAAAACTTCTGACATTTGTAAGCGTTGTGAAATTACTATTATTACTTTCATTGCCGAAATAAGGTTGAAAAGGTTCGCAAAACAGGCTGGCAGTTCAGTTCAACACTCCTCAGATATTTCTTTAAAAAAAAGTTCTGTTTAACTTTTTTTATGCACATGACTTAATTTTGGATTCTTATATTTCACCATGTGGCTCTACTTTTAAATCCTGGCATCTGCCTCACATACTAGCAAATAATTAGTACTTAATTGCAGCTTCTTTCTTAATCTGAAATTGCACATGCTTAGTTGCACGAAGTCATGTAATTGACAGCATCAGGTGAGACCTGTGAACATGTGACGAGCGCTCTATGCAGGCCTTTGAGGCTGTCTCTGGAATTGAATATCTTTGAGGCTGACTATGAGAAACGTATTTGGTTGCAGCTTCTGGGATAATGGCCTTTCCTTTGTTCAGATTGCTGGGCTATCCAGCTTTTCCAGTAACATCTTCCTGACAACACATCACTAGAAAGGACAGATGATGAATGCAGCTGTTTGCAAAACACAAATAAGGCTATTGTTCTATATGCCTGTTTAAGCTGATTCGGGGGAAAAAAGGTGTTGATATACAACCAGAAACTCTGATGGGAGAAACTGATACTCCACCTATTGTTTTGGGCACCTGTGATCTTTGTTGAGGTTCAGATCTGTAAATGGTCAGAGGGTACAGTAAAAGTTCAGTTTTTAACAGATTCTGCTAAAGCCAAATGTTCATTAAATTTGAATTTATATGGTTGGTATCATTTGTATCGAGCTACATTATTTGCCTTATTTTACATTATCTCTGATTGACATCATTTGCATGACATAAATTCCAAGTGTTATCTTGCTTTGGAAACCGTGGACTTTGTTATTTGGGGGTGAAATCCAAAATTATGTATGTTGCATCCGAAGGTAGAGTGGAAGCCCACAAAATTATATATTACTGTAATTTGGAAACCTTATCCTCCAAACATAAATAAAGCAGTTGGCGATCTGATCTAATGCGCTTTACACAAAAGAGACCAATGATGACTTCAGCCCCATGTAGGGAGCAAAATTTATCCTAACATTATTAAGAGACAGGCGTGTTGTTCAGTAATATGCCAGCACACCTTTTGTGTGAGTTTATACGTTATGCCTGTGAAGTAGTTTTATTAGTGACTAGCTAATTACATCCTGTGAGATTCGTGGCTAAGCCTGAATTTATATTCTTTTATAATGTCTATTGTGTAAGTTGCTGACCCAGCACATCTGGAGGGCACCATGTTGGAAAGTTGATGTAAGTATGGTAGAACTCAGAATGGCATCTTGCTTCATGTAGCTATTACAGGGTTGCAAACAATGTTAGTCACCAATAGCAACAGTATTTATGGATGTTTTTTGTTGGTGAATTGGTGGACTTAGAATGACAACTATGATACATAAAAAGGATGAGTGGCAGTGTTTCTATATTGCAATATAAACCTTTTTATACTGTCTTTGAATTGTTCTAAATATTTTGAAGATTATAGAAATGTATGGTACTGTCGTATATTGACCATGGAGCCTAAACAAGAATCTAATTTGGGGGTTTAGAAGTTCATGGTAAGTTGGCATGATTAAAACTCATACTTTTCGTGGTTCTGTGATAGACTGTCTGAATAATGTAATACAGTAGTCCCTGTTTAGTGACTGTTCATAGTGGTGATGGTGATGGGTAAGTAAATTGGCTTCCCTTGCAGTCTTGTGTTGATGTAACACAGCAACAGTCACTCTTGTGAATAGGCCTGGCAGAATACCTTAAGCAGGCTCATTCATTTGCCTTTAAAGTTTTTAGCTACAATTTAATATATCAAACTATATCCAATTGTTGTTGTTTTGTTTAAAACTTGATGTGAAACTGGAAGCCATAGCAGATGACTCAAGAGGGCTCCAAAAAGGAGTGGTAATCTGGAAAATGCTGGGGATTCTGATGTTAGGTTGTCATCTGGATGTTTATTCCCCAAATCACTGTTTTAAAAGTAAGATGTATGCACAAGCATTCCTAAATATATAGTTAGTTATAAGTTTGGGTGTGTAAGGATCAAGTAGGTCACCTCGTCCCTGTTTCATTCTGAAACTAAATACAAGCTGTTTTCAGGTGGAGCACTTTGGAGTAGTTATGTGTCACTGTCCTTTCAGATAAGGGTGTTGACAGCAATTGGAGCAACCTGACGGATCACAAGCAAGAGCACATACTGTATATTTTTATGCCCTCAGTTCTAGGTGTATGAATATAGCTTGATCTCCGTGATATTTTAACCTTTGGGGTTCCTTTTGCAGCAGTGAGAAGAAAACCCATTCCTGCTAATAAGCAATTCTAGCATAACATGACTATAGGACTACTCAGAAACTAGGTATTTATGAAATGGAAAAGAACTACCATATTGCCAGATTTCATTCTGTGTGTTTCATAAATTTTAACTATGGCTAAATCACTCTGGACTTAAACATTTGAATCTTAATTTCTATTTGTCCAGCTTTTGGCCTTAGGCAACATCCTAGAATTTTTGGCTTCAGGGGGCTAGGACTTTTTGTCCTGAGCCAGAGATATTCTGCTTGTGGTACAGCAGCATATATTTAGTCCATGATTACTTGATTGTGGATTGTGCAATATGATGCTTCAAATACTTCCTTGACTGGAAACTGGTTTGTGTTGAAAGAGAATGAGAAAAACAATGTCTTCAGTATGTGACTAAACATAAATCTGTGGAAGCCACACAAAAGCTGATCCTGTGACTATGACACTTCAGAATAAACAAAGAGGCCTTTAGCCCAGATTCAAAAATACTGCATAGGCTTTAGAGGAGGATATTTTGGATTTCTTAAAGAGGAGTAGATACTTAATTGGTTTGGCCTATGGCAGACTGCTGGGATCAGACAATGATCAACCTAGTCCCACACACACCCCTTTTTGGGGGGGCTGTCTGTCTTTTCCTTCTGTTTGTTTGCAGCCACAGTAAATTTTTCATGTAATTACCTGAATTGTTTTATATGCTTGCAAAGGGTTCCTGATTAGTTCAGACTGCCTGTATACAGCAGATGAATGCCAACGTAGATTCTTAATTTCTTAAGTACTATTAAGTGATTATGAAAGGAATAGAGGATTGTCTTTCTTTCTAAGCCTCATGTTCCCTTTAACAGAGACCTTGAAATACAGATCCTGTATTAATGTTGGATTTATGATTAGAACTGTCAGAAAAGACAAATTCATGGAGAAGAGGCAGCCATGCTGTCACTTGGGCAACCTAGCTGCATAAGAGATTTGTGGAAATGTAGGATTTAGATTCCTACAGTTTTATTTGGAATAAAAACTAAAAAAAACACGCCAGCCTGAACAATACTTTCTTTACTGGTTTATATCGCCATCTTGTAGAGGAAGGTGTGTGGGTTATATTGCAGTTTCTAGAAATACATATAATCCTTGACTTACGACCCCTATTGAGGCCAAAATTTCTGCTGCTAAGTTAGACATCACAACACCCCCCCCCCCCCCGCCCCGATCATATGACCCTCGGACACTGCAACTTTCATAAATAGGAATCAGTTGTCAAGCATCTGAATTTTGATCCCTGGACTGTGGAGATGTTGCAATGGTTGTAAGTGTGAAAAACACTTTTTAAAGTGCTGCTGTAATTTTGAATGGTCACTAAACGAACTGTTGTAAGTCTTGAACTACCTGTAACAGTTTTTTTTTAAAAAAAACAATCCATAGTTTTAGTTGCTGAAGTCTTATTTTTGCCATGATTAAACAGTTCTCCATTTTCTGGCTTCTCTGTGTTTGGAATAGGACAGCTTATTTATCACAATCACCTCCCCCTTCCCCCCCATTACCTTCTAAATATCTTCACAGAACATTCTGACTCCTAAACAGCATTTCTGATCCCTCTGGGAGCGGTTCAACCTTGAAAAGGGCCACGGTCCAACCTTGGGGGGGGTCAGAACGTTCCATGAAGAATGTTTTGCACATACTAGAATCCTCCTGCATTATTAAGGCAAATGCTAGACATTTCCTAGTGATGTCACCTTTGAATCTCTTCCTTCCCGAGGTCAAGCAGGCCACTTTCTATTCATGAGCTCTTTGTTTATTCTTTTTCCTTTTGTTTAGGTTGGGATAAGCATTCCTACGGCTATCATGGCGACGATGGACACTCCTTCTGCTCATCAGGGACAGGGCAGCCCTATGGCCCCACTTTCACTACTGGCGATGTCATTGGCTGCTGCGTGAACCTCATCAACAACACCTGCTTCTACACAAAGAATGGGCACAGTTTAGGTAAGCAAATAGGAGCACTTGGTCCAGTTTTCTCTCACCTCGTTTGAAATGTTAACGTATTCATAAGGTCTCTTATCAAAATGCAATTCCATTCATGTTTGATCATATAGTCAGAACAGAATGAACATAATAACAGAGTTGGAAGGGGCCTTGGAGGTCTGCCAGTCCTACCCCTTGCTCAGACAGGAAACCTGTTACTATTTCAGACGAATGGTTGTCCAATTTCTTCTTAAAAACTTCCAGGGTTGGAGCATTCACAACTACTGGTGGCAAGTTGTTCCACTGATTAATAGTTCTAACTGTCAAGAAATTTCTCCTCAGCTCTAGGTTGCTTCTCTCCTTTCCACCCATTGCTTCTTGTCCTGCCCTCAGGTGCTTTGGAGAATAGCTTGACTCCCTCTTCTTTGTGGCAGCCCCTGAGATATTGGAACACTGCTATCATGTCTCCCCTAGTCCTTATTTTCATTGAACTAGACATACCCAATTCCAGGATCCCTTCTTTATATGTTTTAGTCCCCTAATCATCTTTGTTGCTCTACTCCGTACTATTCCTAGACTCTCAACATCTTTTTACACCATGGTGACCAAAACTGGATGCAGTATTCCAAGCATGGCCTTCCCAAGGCATTATAATGTGCTATTAACATTACATGTGATCTTGATTCTATTCCTCTGATAATGCAGCCTAGAACTCTGTTGGCTTTTTTGGTAGCTGCAACACCCTGTCCTGGCTCATATTTAAGTGGTTATCCACTAGGATTCCAAGATCCCTCTCACAGTTATTACTGTTGAGCCAGGTATCACCTATATTGCATTGGTTTTTCTTACTTGTTTTACCATTGAATTTCATTTTTTTAGATAGCACCCAAGGTTCAAGTCTGTCAAGATTCTCCTGTATTTTAAGCCTGTCTTCTGGAGCGTTGGCTATTCCTGCCAGTTTGATGTCATCTGCAGATTTGATGAGTTCCCCCAATATCCCCTCATCCAAATCATTGATGAAGATGTTGAAGTGTACTGCGCCTAAAACATAGCCTTGAGAAGAGCATGAGAACTCCTTTCTCATGCATCTACCATCACATTATATTGCTTTTTCAGTTGTGTGGCCCATCTCCCACTTACCTCTATATGTGCAGTAGCTACTCCCATTCATGTGGAGTTAAAATAACCATCAATATCTTGTCCCATCCCCTTTCCCCAACAGAAGAGGTTCCCTCTAACCCTGGAAACAAGTTGAATATACAGTAAGGACCTTTCCTCCTAGGATATTATTTTAACCTGGGAGAATCAAAGCCAATAATATTCATAGTGCTGTGATGCATTCTGGTTTTGTCTGTTCTGTGCATTAGAAATAGAGCCGTAGAAAAGATAGAAGAAATGCTTTCATAGAACATGAGATAAAGAAACCTCTTTGAAGAATGTAGTACTTAAAACTGAGGCTCGAAAATTTATGAGTACATTTGTCAAAGCATTTGAGTTATAAAATTTGACAGCCATTCCTTGCAACTCCCCTTTATCCACTATTCAGTGTTTTGCTTTATGCAAGCTTTTGGGGGATATAACTCTAGCACAAAGCAAGGGAAAACCGTCTGCTGTTTTTATTTTATTATTTCTTTAGAATTGCTTATTCTAAATTGGGGATAGGTAAGTGAAAGTGCTACTTACCAGAGTATCGGATACATTTATGGGATTCCCTGCAGCAAACTCTTGATTTAAATTGCTTTGAAAGGCAGCTATACAAATGGATAATAAGCAGCTCTGAAAAATTATAGCAAAGTCCCTGTTCAAACGGCAGAGTACCCTCAATAACCACTTGTTGAGAAACACAGTTGGGACACAACTCTTATTTTCATGATAAACTGGTAGGGTTCTCAGGAATATCTGGCTGGCTGTTGTTGTTTTAAATGTAGGAATCTATGGTCTGATGTTTCAGCCCTCTGACTTCATGCATTATGTGGATGTTTCAACTTTGCTCTTCAGAATTGCTTTAGCGATAACTGGATTTTTCTCTCTGGGCAAAGAAAAGAGAGATAAAAATGTACAGAACGGTCTTCCATCAACCTGGCATTCTCCGGTAGGAATTCTCAGAAGTTCCAGCTGGCCTGGCCCAAGGAGGTCTGGGAATGGCAGTCCTTTTACACTGAGAAAGTGTGAAAAAAGCCAATCCAGAAGTCAATGCCTATTTGTAAAAGGATCTGCTATTATTTAGGGGATAATACCATCCTTTTGTAGCATCTGAATTATTTCCATTAGCAACCGCATTGCAATTCTTTTTTTTTAAATATCCCAGTCCTCTCTGTATGTTTCTGGTCATCCTTTCCTATCTGTGTTAAAATGGGTGTGCTTGGCTAAAAGTGGAAGCGGTTGCTGCTATTGTGGTGATAGAGTTATCTTGCCTGTGGAACAACTGTGTCAACAATGAGAGAAAACCTCTATGGTACTGTAAATCCCACTTAGTGTTAAGCTTTCAGAAAACCGTTTGCAGCAGGAAAGGAGGCATAGAATGAACTGTCTTTCCCAATAATCTGAACCTCATTCATATATTCTTGTGCCGGTGCAGACAGACTAAAATCATTCTGGGCAGCCTATAAATTTAATACAGGTAGTCCTCAACATAAAACCACAATTGAAAATTTCTCTTACTAAGTGAGACAGTTGATAAGTGAACTTTAGTCCATTTTACAACCTTCCTTGCTACAGTTGTTAAATGAGCCACTGCAGCTGTTGAGTTAGCGATTCTTAGTTGTTAGTTAAGTGAATCTGGCTTCCTCATTGACTTTGCTTGCCAGAAGGTCGCAAAAAGAGGTCACGTGACTCTGGGACAGTCATAAATGTCAGTCAAGCATCTGAATTTCGACCCTGTGACCTCGGAGATGCTGCGATGGCTGTAGGTGTGAAAAACGGCCGTAAGTCACTTTTTCCAGTGCTGTTGTAACTTTGAACGGTCCCTAATGAATTCTTGGAAGTCGAGGACTGCCTATAAATAAAAGCATAGTCCATATTCATAGCATTTTACCAAGTACTGGAGGAGAAAAATCCAGTTCCCCTTCTGCTATTTGCAATATCATCGTAGTGACCAGCGAGCGAGACAAGAAAGCCACAGATAAGAAGTTTAAATGCTCTGTGCACCAAGTCTTGCAGGTAGCTCACTTTCCTTGCAGCAGGGAGTCGTGAATGCAGCCACGTTTTAAAAATAAACATCTCCAACTGGGAAAGGGTGGGGTGTTATCTCTGCGCCCAGAAATATTTGCTTCCTTTGCACCAGGTTATGTTTGACACACACTCTCCTTTGATTCTGACTTTACACCATTGAAGTTACAAACAGGCAGAATCCCTTTTTTTTTCCTTTTTCTTTCCCCCCCTTGGTTACATGAAACGAGAATGCATAGATCTCCATGTTTTTTGGTTTCCTCCCAATAGGTGAGGTAAAGACCTAGCCTGTCCGTGCAAGATAATTTAGAGGACAAAGGTTGAGACACTAAAGTTGAAACACTAATTTCTGCTGCTGATTGGGGAATTAGCTTTAAATTCTCCTCCCCCCATAATGTCTGAAGGTATTGAAGTAGCAGCAGAAGAAGGAATTACTCCAGGCGTTTTCATTCCTTGCTTCAAATTAAGATTAAAGTTCAGATCAACATTCAGCACCTTTATGCTTCCTTCTGTTAGCAGAGATATACCAGAGTGGGACTTCCTGGAAAAATGACAACCTGGACCCGTTCAGTCATCCGTATAAATGCCTCTTCTTTTTCCTTTGTCTCACTTGGTGCATTTACTCAGTTGTAGGATCAGCAGGGATACTTCCGTTGTGGGCTGCTTTGTTCCTTCTCCTAGCAGTGAGTTGCTTAATTAACTCCCGTAAAATTATTTTAAAGCAGCAGACTAAAACAAAAAAACCAAGAGCAATTGCTCTGAAAAAGGCTACTTCTGAAGCACGAATTAATATGATTTAAATTACTTCCCCCCCCCTTTCTTCGCCTTAATTTTATTCCTGCGCACCCCTCCCCCAAAAAACCCACACTGAAAAAAATCTAGCTCAGATCCTCAGCCTCATTTTTAGAAGAGCTAAACATATTGAGAATTAGCGTAGGTCTGTGTCAATTAAAAAGTTTTGCAGTTTTATTTATCAGATTTCTACACCTCCCATCTCACCTAAGTGACTGGCCAGTTTACAATAACTGCTTTACAGAAGATGGGAGTAAGAAGTAGAAATTTGTTCCTATTTACTCTGATCAGTTCCTAGCTGAGCATGGATATGTTACAGATTTCACAATAAGCATACAGGTAGTCCTTGACTTACAATAATTCATTTAGTGATTGTTCAAAGTTACAACAGCACTGAAAAAAGCAACTTGTGACCATTTTTCACACTTTTGACTGTTGCAGCTTCCCAATGATCACATGATTAAAATCCAGATGCTTGGCAACTGACTCATACTTATATACTTACGAGCTTCTGGCAAGCTAAGTCAATGGGGAAGCCAGTTTCACTTAACGACCATGTTACTAATGTAACAACTACAGTGATTCACTTAACAAATGTGACAAGAAAAGTAATAAAATGGGACAAAACCCACTTAATGAATTTCTCACTTAACATAAACGTTGGGCTAGATTGTGGTCGTAAGTCAAGGACTACCTTACGCAAATCTGAACATGGATTAGAGACGTCTTTTATTGCACTCCAGTTTAATTATTTGCTCACCATATTTGTTGCTATATTATGTGTAACGACAAATTTAGGCTTTAGGGTACCGAGGGAAAATCCTTTGCCTTGACTTTAATATTTTCTCTTTCACAGGTATAGCCTTCACAGATCTTCCTGTAAGTACAACTTTTGTTTTTATATTTCAACAAAAGATTGAAAGCGTGGCGGTGGGAAGGGTCGGGGGGGGGGGGGGAAGCTTGGGACTCGCCTTCTCCTTTTGTCCCATCTGGAAGTGGTTAGCATTCGGCTAGTACCGTGGATGAAGCTCCCATGGCAATAAGGAGGGGAGGTTTCGTAGAGAAATTAGTCCCCCCACAAACTTTGGCTTCAAAAGAGGGGTGGGGGCGGGGGCAAATTTGTGAGCAAAAGCTTTTCCACACATTGGAAAAAAATTTTTTTTTTTTTTAAGAGAAGCGATTTTGGCAAGGATGCTCTAAAATAAGCAACCTGGGATCTTAGCCTGAAATGAAAATAAGCCTTTGCTGCTGCTGCTGCTTTCACTGCTTCAAGTATACTAAAAATAACCTACACCTCGGTGAATCGTTAAAGCAGAATGCAATCAGTAACCAAAAAGGAAATTCCTAGATTTTGAACAAAACACATCTGGAGTGCAGGGAGTTGCTTAAATAGCGCTTGTTGGGGTGGAAATGAATCGGCCGACTTCAGAGTCCATCATAAATCAAAGCTGGGATGCTTTTCATTCAGCAGCTTTAAAAGTTTTACCAAATGGTTTTACCACAGGCAGCGAGATCATGTGTTCCAACTGAGATTTAATTTTTGAGAGGATTTATGAAGATGTTTTTTTTTTTGAAAGCTGCTTATTCTTGGTCATTTTGCTATTGAATGCCAGTAGAGGATAGATATTAGTTGAGATTCAGTTAACTCCACAGTATAGGCATAAAAGGTTTTAATCTTTAAAAATTACAGATGAATGGCATATTTTTATTTATTGCCCAGGCCTGTGACAAAAAGAAAGCAACCGTGTATATTGTTGGAGTGTGATACCTTGCTCTTTTTTGTACATCAACAGACCTCCAGATTGGATACAACATGTCTTTAGATGCTGAAAAAGTCCCCGAAATTGGATAGAATAAAAACATAAACACTTCACAAATAAACAGAACAGAGGCCAGCGCCATTGACTCAGCTACCCTGCCACAGATTGTTTTGCAGCTCAAAATAGAAGTCTGAATTTTGACTGGATGAGAAAGCCATACTTATTTCAGTTTCATTCCAGTTGTCTTTCTCAATGTGCCTTTCTAAGCAGTTTCCAAATATGGCGCCTTGAAAGATACCCCTTGCGCCATGCTTGTCCCGTTCCCCAAATTAACTGAACTGTTCAAAATGTCATGTGAAAATACAGCACATTAATGTCTTCTTTGGCAAACAGTTAAAATACTGTATATATAGGATTTATGTTGAATGAAGCATACACTGTAGCAACAACCTGCTACATTTTCATTGTTTGCGTTTTGGACAATTCCCTTCATAGGTCTGTAATCTTATCTGCTAATCTAGATATACTTTTTTTTTTCTTCCAACTCCAAAGACCCTAAGCTGCAAACAGTTTCTTTTGATTTTGAGAAGTGTTTCTTGTACAGTTAGTCCTCGACATACGACCACAATTGAGCGCCAGATTTCCGTTGCATAGCAAGAGACTTAAAGTGATTTTTTTTGCTCCCATTTTATGACCTTTGTTGCCACAGCTGCTAAGTGAATCACTGCAGTCAGTTGTTAGTAACATGGCTGTTAAGCGAATCTGGTTTCCCCATCGCCAGAAGGTCACGTAAGGGGATCACATGATCCCAAGATACCACAACCGTCATAAATATACACGCCAAGTTGCCAAGTGCTCGAATTTTGATCGGGCGACCCACGGGGATGCTGCAACAATCGTAGGTTTGAGATGGTCGTGTCAAACCCCCCCCCCCCTTTTTTTTTTTAGTGTCGTTGCAACTTTTGGACAGTCACTAAACGAATGGTTGCAAGTTGCAAGGACTACCTGTATGACGCTGACTCTTCCCAAAATGGTTTTCAGGGAAAGGCATTTTCTGCAAAGTGCCCATGTGTCCCATCCGGCCCAGAAGCCCATCGTTCAGGGTTCCCTGACGACCCTCTTCCCAAGGAGGGGGGGGAAAATGTATGTCTCTGCTTTCTTTCCTTAAAGAGCCCGGGTTTTTTAACTTGGGCTTCGTTTTTTTGGCAGGCCAATCTATATCCCACTGTGGGGCTCCAGACACCCGGAGAGATTGTGGATGCCAACTTTGGGCAACAGCCATTTGTGTTCGACATTGAAGACTATATGAGAGAGTGGCGAGCAAAGATTCAGGGCACGATTAAAAGGTTTCCCATAGGTGACCAGCTAGGGGAATGGCAAGCCATGCTACAGAAGTGAGTGGCTGCTTGGGTTGCCTTGACGTTAAAATTCACGAGAATGTTCTGCTGTAAAATGACATCCCTCACTCACCATTCTTACCTTATCGGTTTTCTGTGTCCCTGAGAAGAGCAGAGGGGGTCCTTACCTTACGACGAACAGGGCTGCTGGCTGCTTTCCTTGCACCTTGTCTATAGCCGATGGGTAGCGCAGATACGCTGCTTGCTTTTTTGCCTGGTTTGATCATTGTTTCTTCCGTTAGGTTGAGAAATGAGAGCTGAAGGGAAGGTGGAGCTTTGCCAAAAGCTATGCTCTTTTATACAGCCAAATCACAAAAGAAATGAAGGAAAATCAGACCTCATCCATATTTATGCCCTGAACAAAAGACATGCGGAGCTGGTTGTTTCTACTAGTCCTAGTAGAATATCTAGATGAAAGCAGGACAAGTTCAGCAAATAGGCCGACTTTTATCTCTATTTCTTTCTTTTTTTTACAATAAAGAAAACACGGGTTTTATGAGCCAACAGCAGGCGTGTTGAAAAGCTAGGCAGTATATTTCATTTCAAATCTCTAAAAAGCTTCCCATACATAGGCCTAGAAATGTTTCCGGCTCACTTCTATAGCGAGATATTGACTGAGCATACCAATGTTCGTTCTTCTGCTTGCTTTGTGATTCACACAAAAGGCATTAGAATCAAGGAGGTTAATCAGATTCATCACATTTAATACATATTCTCTTGATTTTAATGAAGGTCGGATGGGTAGTGTCTTCTATACCCTTCCAAGGAACCTTTTCTTGGCATATTTCGATACTGGGAAGCAAAAGCCAACCACAATAACAGTGCGTGCACAACAAAGCCCATGTTAATGTGGCTATCCTAGAGATGTTTCCCCTCCCCCCTTTGTGCCCCACTTTTTGTGGAGTTTGTACCGACACTGATGTTCTTTCTGTTGCCTGCTTTTTATATTTCCTAGCATGGTCTCTTCCTATCTGGTACATCATGGATATTGTACTACAGCCACTGCCTTTGCCCGTGTGACAGAAAGTACAGTCCAGGAGGAACAGATCTCCATAAAGAACAGACAAAGTAAGCTTTTTTGCATCACTGCTGTAGCTTTCCCTACATCCTGAAATGTGCAGTTCTCCCTGGCTGCATCATTACACTGATATACCTGTAATTAAGTTGTGTAGCCTAGCATTAATCGGCAGAACTTTAGTGTCCTCCATTGTTCCTTCTAGTTCTTTTTTATGGCTGGCATTTTCTGTTTTTCTGTGTCTCATCTTTTTTTCCTTCAATTTGTCAAACGAAACCAAACGGTTTTGATTGTTCTGGAAACTGACTAAATCATTTTTGAAAGCTGATTTTTCTTTCATGTTACCCTTTTTGTTTCCTTCACCAGTTGAATTTCTGGCTTTTTTGTCTCAAGTCCTGCCTCTTGTGGGGTGTTGACTGAGATCCTGGTTGTTCATTTAAAATTAATAACTTATTGACAACAAATGGTGGATTTCCAAGTTTGTCAAAGTGGTTTCCAAGTGATTTGCTGGAAAAGGATATGATTTTTGGAGTTGGGGATTCTTGCTTATGTTCCCAAATGCATATGAAATACTTAAAATATAAGTGCATGGAGCTATTTTCTTGGTTTCGAAGACACGTTACTAGATGGATGGGTAAAATGTAGTTAAAAACAAAAAGAATTGTGTGTGTGTGTGTGTGTGGAACCTTTGACCCAACATCAATAATTGTGGAACCATTAAAGTGGAGCGTTTCCAAATAAACACTATTGCAAAATGGGATATGGCAGTTAATAAGCTGTTGTATTTGCTTAATACAAGCTATATGCCAACATCTCCAAGCAAATTTAAGGGACTGGTTGTAGCAAGACCATCTGTTAACTGGAAACCCCGGCAGACTTCGGTGAAAGGTTGGATCATTGCCTGATGCTCCAGCACCTTATTAAGAAATGCTACTCTAATGCTTTAAAACTCCTTACCTGCAGTTTTCATTGATACGAAGCCAGCAGTTCATTCTATTTTCCACGATGGAAAGAACTGAAGACTACCCTGATTGTTTCCCCACTTACTGTTTCTAATAGAAAAATTAATTTGATAATGGAAAACATATTGAAAATGAATCAGAAAAAAGAGATGAGTGCTAATTGGCGGACTTCCATGTGGAAGGGCAGCCATGAGTGGGGTTCCTGCAGAAAAACTATCTGCCAGGAATTGTTGGATGTACTACAGGTGTCCAAAGATTAATAATGCCTCGAGGATATGAGAAATTGTCACAATTAATTTTGTTCTTAATTTTTTTTTAATGCGGCTGAAACACATTTTTCTTTTCTATTCATTGCATCTGAATAATCTATGTATTGGTAAACCCTGTTTTACTGCCTGTCTAAGGTCAGGTGATACCCAACAGCCTGCATCCTCATAGTTCTGCTCTCACCTCCAGGAATACAGAAGCTGGTTTTGGCAGGAAGAGTAGGTGAAGCCATTGAAGCAACACAGCAGCTCTATCCAGGGCTTCTAGAGCACAATCCTAACCTCTTCTTCATGTTAAAGTGAGTACGGTGTAACTGCCTTTTTTTGTGCAAAGAACTGTGGTGTTTAGAAAGTCAGGGAGCAAAAATTGTGACAAAGCAGTAGACGGATTTATAATCTCCTTTTACTCTATGAACAAAGGACTGGGGGTACCAAATGGATTCTAAGAGCCAGTTTGATTTAGTACAGGGGCATCCTATCTTGGCAACCTTTAAGACTTGTACTCCTAATATTCCCAGCCAGCATGGGGAATTCTGGGAGTCCACAAGTCTTAAAAGTTGCCAAGACTGGTCATCCCTAGGCTAGCAGTTAAGGCACCAGACTAGAAAGCGGGAGACCGTGAGTTTAAGTCCCTTTTTAGCCATGAAAGCCAGCTGGGTGACTGTGTATGTCTCTCTCAGCCCAACCCACCTCACCGAGTATTTTTAGGGAAAATGGAAGAAAGGTGTGTTGGATATGTCCATTGCCTTGAGTTATTTGTAAATATAATAAAGGCAGGATATACATAATAAATCAATAAGATTGTCTTTGAACGATGGGTGCCCTGTCGGAGAAAAACTGGAGGGGATAAATCTTCTAAGAAATATGGTTTGACCTGACCCAAATAATTGAAGCTTGCCCTCAGAGTGCTGCTGTAAATAGCAACCCTTGTTATCTTTCCAAATGGAAGGCAGCTTAAGAGGAATCCCTTTTTAGGGAAAGCGAATTGGGATACTTTCTCAGACAGCTCAGAATAACTTCTCATTTTTTAAAACCAGACAAGCCAAGACTTGTAAGCCCGCGTCAGTGGTTTCACTTACAGAATGTTTTCCTAAATGCTGCAGGAAGTTTAAAAGGGAGGCCCTCAGATTCGCAATCTAATAATCTAGAGGTTGTTAGGCATGTAGCTTCTGCACCACTTTGATGGATGCATTGTGTATTTTTCTTCCAATTCTTTGGAGCTGCGAGCCATTTGCTGTAAGAAGGTCGAACCAAGAATGTTCTTTTCTCTGTGTGCTTCTCTGCATGCCAGGCCCAAGGTGTAGCTATGTTGAACTATTACTGAACTGTTGCATTTATTTTTATTTTTTTCTGTATAGTTTCCCACTCACCTGCTTTCCCACCCCTGTGCATCCCTAGGTGCCGGCAGTTTGTGGAGATGGTGAATGGAACAGACAGCGAAGTGCGCTTTTTCAGTACCCGCAGCCCCAAATCACAAGACAGCTACCCCGATTCCCCCAATCTGAGTCCCCGACATGGCTCCAATAATTTGCACATCCACATCACTGGTAGGCGTTCGCTTGTCTCCTAGAGACGTCCTCCCCTTGGCTTGGTGCTAACTTGGCGCCTACTTTTCATTATCTTTCTGGAAGCTGCTGTTAGAATTTCTTCTCAAAATTATGCCCAGTGCCTTCAGTAGTGCAGAACCCACTGATACCCATACGAAGTACGATTCTGGCACAATGAGCTCTTCAGACAAGAGCTAAGGCCGAGTAAGGTTTTGGCAGTGACTTCGTCAAACTCGGTTATCTCTCTCCTGATTTTAGATTGCTTCTCCAAAGTAGATTATTACTCGCCCCAGCTCCTGCCAACCTAGCGGTTTGAAGGCATGCAAATGCGAGTAGATAAACAGGTACCACTTCAGTGGGAAAGTAACCAAGTTCCGTGTGTGCCTTGGCATATAGTCCTTCTAGCCCATTTGACCACGGAAGTGTCTTTGGACAATGCTGGCTCTCTCAGCTAGGAAATGGAGATGAACGCCGCCCCATAGAGTTGGGCCCAATTGGACAGGAGAAATCGTTACCTTTAGTAGGGCTTAAACTTTTAGTCATTAAAAAAGCGCTGGCTTTCCCAACTTGACTTCTCTTTCTGTCTTCAGGAGCAGACAGCCCAAGCTGCAGCAATGGGGTGACCTCCCTCAAAAGCAAACAGAGCCACAGTAAATATCCTGCACTGAGTTCCTCCTCCTCCTCCTCTTCCTCCTCCTCCCCTTCATCCGTGAACTACTCCGAGTCCAACTCAACAGATTCTACCAAATCCCAGCAACATAGCAGCACTAGCAACCAAGAAACCAGGTGAGACAGGTGCCTTTCTAGGACAGGGCCAGGTAATAATCAAGTGCAGGTAGTCCTTGACTTACGACCACGGTTGAGTCCCAACATTTCTACATTGCTAAGCTAGACAGTTGTCAATGAGTTTTGTCCCATTTAAAGACCTTTCTTGCCACAGTTGTTAAGTGAATAATAGGGTTCCTAAGTGAATCTGGCTTCCCCGTTAACTTTGCTTGTTCAGGAGGTTCACAAAAGATGATCACATCACCCCGGGACGCTGCAACTGTCATAAACATGAGACGGTTGGCAAGTATCCAAATTTTGATGACCTTTGATCACAATCGTTAAGTGTGAAAAGCGGCCACTGGTCACTTTTTTTCCCCCGTGCTGTGATAACTTTAAGCGGTCCCTAAATAACGGTTGTAAGTCAGGCGGTACCCGTATAAAGACAGTGGCAGCTCTTTCCTTAGTTGTCTAGTTGAATTCACTTTCTGTATAAATCATACGGCGATGTAAACAGCTCCAGCATGTGGATGGCAGCAGCAGCACCTTGCTCAACTTGGTTGATCTCTGAGGCCGAGTAGACCAGGCCCAGTTAACATTTGTTTGATTAATCCTCAGTTAATCTCAAGACTGTAGGCTACATGGGAAAACCAAAACAATACCACCGAAGACAGGGTCAAACCTCTTCCATATGCTGCATTCAAGGAAATTCTATGGAGGCATCCAGAAAATCCCCGAGCGTCGAAATCAACTCGAAAGAGATATACTTTTTTTTTTCTCTTTTCATTCCTGTATTGGGAATGGATGAATTTTCAGCTCCTGGATAGATTTCACAATGCTTGTATAACAACGTGGGCACCAAAAAAACAAAAAACAAAGACTGCCCAATGAGATTGTTAAGAGTGCTTATGATCAGGCAAGATTAACTTGCTTAATTTGAATGATGTGCAAATGCTATTTGAGGCTGGCGTCGGATCCTTTGGGAGATGGCCAACCTTGGCCACTTTAAGACTTGGATTTCAACTCCCAGAGTTTCCCAGCCAGCCATAATTGCTGGGGGATTCTGGGCCATGAAGCCCACAGGTCTTGAAGTTTGCCCAAGCTGGACCCCTTGATATATATATTCTAAATCGAATCTGTCTGTATCTCCTGCTGATGTTGAGGACATGCCTTTTCCTCTTTTGGCCTTTCTTTCTTTTGGACTCTCTCATGACTTCCATCCTCTTCATTCAAGTGACAGTGAAATGGAGATGGAGGCGGAGCACTATCCCAATGGAATCCTGGAGAATTCAGCCACCCGAATAATGAATGGCACTTACAAGCACGAAGAGATTCTACAGACCGATGATTCCAGCATGGGTAGGTCTGGCGGGCGCGGAGGTAGGAGAAATGCCCTTTTTTTTTGAGAAAACGGTTCCTTATCCAGGGTGGATGAGGTTCCTTACAGAAAATTACTCTACATCAGAAGCTTTTTCCAGTCCTTCCATTCATATTCAGGTAGTCCTCAACTTACAATCACAGTTGAATCCAAAATTTCTGTTGCTAAGCCAGGTGGTTGTTGAATGAGTCATTTTGCAACCTTTTTGCCCTGGTTATTAAGCAAATCACTGTAATTAAGGAAATCACGCAGTTGCTCAGTGAATCTGTTTCCCCATTGGCTTTGCTTGTTGGAAGGCATCTGGGAAGGTCGCAAAAGGTGATGGATGAAGCTGTTGTAAATATATTCTGATTACAAAACAAATTTTTTTTATCACATGACCATGGACATGCTACAGCAGTCATAAATGCGAGGATTGGTTGTAAGTCACTTTTTCCTGTACTGTTGTAACTTCAAACCATCGATAAAAGAATGGTTGCAAATCAACAATTACTCGTATTCTACTTTATTCAACAATGGATAGAATCCATCCTGGTTTAGCACAATGGGTGGACCCAACGCTTGCTTAGCATATACGATCCAGCATAGAATTTAACTTCTGAAATTTTAAGCATGTGGTGTTCGTGGATTTGAAGTAAGTCCTGGAATGCTGAGAAAAAAGGCTTAAAAGTTAACCTTTTAAAAGATTTTAGGAAGGTTAAGTGTTCTTCCAGGCAGGGCCTCTTTAGAAGACTTCTGTACCCAGTGACTTACTTGGCTAATAATTAAAGGTGGGATTCCTACTTTTTAATATCAGTTCTGTGGGCGTGGCAGGGGAAGGATACTGCAAAATCCCCATCCCCCCTCCTCCCCACTAACCTGCTTTCCAGCTCCATTCTCCTGCATAGGGCAACCAAGGAAGACACAGCCAATCAGCTCGGGAGGCGGAGAATAGATGGGGACGGGGCCAGTCAGAGGTGGGATTTGACGGTTCTCCAAACTACTCAAAATTTCCGCTACCGGTTCTCCAGAACTGGTCAGAACCTGCTGAATACCCACCTCTGCTAATAATTTGGGAGGGTGCGGGGTGGGCTTCAGTGGGTCTGAAGAAGGCAGAGGCTTTGGTGCCATGCAGGTTCCTGATCTCTTCGTCCGGTTTCCCCCTCCTCTGCAGAAGATGGCTGCCCTCAGAGGCAACTCTGCGGAGGGAACCACGCTGCCACCGAGCGGATGATCCAGTTCGGGCGGGAGCTCCAGAGCCTCAGTGAGCAGCTATGCAGAGACTACGGCAAGAACACAACCCACAAAAAAATGTTACAGGTATTCACAGCTTGACTGGATTTTTCCCTAAAGCTGCTCCTTTTTTATGCAAAATCCGTCCTCTCTTTTATTTCTCTGTAAAGCAAGGTTAAGGTTTTTTGGCATGATTTGTTTAAAAAGATGAAACCAGGAGGACAGTGAAAAACATGGTGGAGTTCTCGGCGCTCTCTGAGTTTGTTTTTCTTGCAGACATTTCATTATCCAACTAAGTAACATCATCAGTGCTAATCCTTTATTTTCTTTTATTGGCCTGTTAGATTTCAGCAAGAATTTCCAAGGAGACTAAAATTGTCCCAAGCGATTCAGAGTTTAGAAAACCATTCATTGCCCTTGGCAAAATCATTTAAACCTCTCCCCACTGATAAAATAGAATTGGCCTTGGACACACACGCACCCCCAAAATGATCACACACACACCCCTTCTGTATGATTTTCCACCTGTGAAAAATAAATACTTTTCACTGGTCAGTAGAGGGAGCTATTGCATTAGTATTATTCCATACTATGGAAGAGGGGAAAATTGCAGCTTATTTAAGCTACAGTGATCAGAAATTATCCCCCTCCCCAATTTAAATACAACCTCCCCCAAAAGTATTATTAATGTTTAAAATAATACTCAACTGGGCTTGAAAAAAAAATGAACACGGTGCCTGGCCAGTTTACGAATTCAGTTCTCGGCATGCCCTTACTAGCTCTGCTGTATTCCTAGACAGCCTCACGCCTTCAAGATAAAATAGGGCACTGTGTCAAAGCAACCTTGAAATCCTGGGAGCTATACAGCCACTGGGACCGAGTAGTTTTTGCTGCTCTGCTGAGATCTCTTGTTACTCTTTCAGGATGCATTCAGCTTGTTAGCCTACTCTGACCCTTGGAACTGCCCAGTCGGTCAGCAGCTGGACCCAATCCAGAGGGAACCTGTGTGTGCTGCACTCAATAGCGCTATTTTGGGTAAGGAGATGCCGGGAGCCCATTGTAACTCCGCTTTGTACCCCTCTTGCTGCACCGAGAATAATGTGGGAGGGATTTTGCTGCATTTTTGCAGGTTTGGGGAAATTACCTGCGCCAGAGAGGGAGCGTCGGTGCGTGTATAGAAGAAAGAGAAGAAAAAAGGGGGGGGAAAAAGGAAAGGGAAGGAGGGAGGGGAGAATTAGAGTTGCTTATTGTTTATTTGTGTCAGAAGCGTCACAATTAAAATTTAAAGCATCACATTTAAGCATCACAATTTAAAAAAAAAAAACAACCATGTATTTTGTAGCAATAACTGGCAAGCTGGTAGAAGTTGTAATATTCACTTGATTGAGTAAAATGGCTCTGAGTGCCCATCAGGGCCAGATTTTTTTTTTTAGAAAATAGAAGTGACTGCATCCCCACATTTTCTTCGGAAGTGTATCATTTCCCTTGCCTCCCGTAGACCAGGGCTGTCAAATTCGCATGACACATTGTCATCACGTGACGTATCACAACTTCCCCCCCCCACTTCGCTAAACCGGGGGTGGACGTGGGCAGCGTAAGCAGCCCTCAAGCCGCGAATTTGACCCCCCTGCCTTAGGTGAAAGTGAGTCGGCTGCTAGAGAGAACCCTTGGAATCGTAACAGCCGTGATGTCATACTACAATGTTCCTAACTTGCCGGCTAGTAAATAAATGGCCGTTCTGTTTGGGCTATTTCGGAAAAGTGACCATCCTTCTGCCCGCCACGTTGCAAGAACGGCTAGAATAGAATTAGAAATTAGAATTAGAATTAGAATTGAATTCTTTATTGGCGAAGTGTGATTGGACACCCAAGAAATTTGTCTTTGGGGCAAATGCTTTCAGTATAGACGTAGCCTGTTTGGATGACGTGTTCCTTCTGCATCTCTGCTCTCTTTCTCTCCTCAGAGTCTCAGAACCTGCCAAAGCAGCCCCCGCTGCTGCTCGCCCTGGGCCAGGCCTCGGAGTGCTTGCGACTCATGGCTCGCGTGGGCCTGGGCTCCTGCTCCTTCGCCAGAGTGGACGACTATTTGCACTAGCCACCGAGTGAGGCAGAGTGACCCTTCCAGTTGCTGCCCTTTCACCTCTTCCTGCCTTTGCGGTTTCTCACCTGCGCCTGCCCTCCACCCGCTGCCCAGCAGCAGGACGCAGTGTTGACTGAGGGAGGGGAGGAGGAGGAGGAGGAGAGGACCCTTGACGCGCCTCCGTTGCTCGCCCTGGAAACTGCTCACAGGGCCGCCCCCCCATCCCATCCCACCCCACCCTGCCCCTTCCATCACAGCCCCATCTTGCTCTGTCCCACAGCACTTGGCCTTCTCACTGGTCCCTCGGATGTAGCGCCTTCTGACTTTAGGATTTTACCTTTATTTTATTATATTATTTTATTTCTCTGACTGAGCCACCAGTATTTATACCTGGAGAGTTTGTGCTGAGCTGGTTTCTAATTCATTTAGAGATAAAAAAAAAAAAGTATATCTTGAGTTGGTGATGGCCTGTTTTTGCTTTTTGTTTTAACTTTATTTTTACGTTCGGAGAAACTTGCTGGCACGCGTGTTCCTTGGACAGTATTGTTCACTGTTGCTGGTCCTCACAAAAACCAAGAGGCTGAATGTGCTTGTTGGAATATTAGCCATGCTATCCAAACAAAAGAGTTTAATCATCATCATTTTTTTTTTCTGTGCCTATGACACACAACCCTAAGAAACCCTACGGATTCGCCCTGGGAACTAATCCAGGGAAAGGCTGAGATTGGGAACAATGAGATGATCTGTTCCCAACTGTCCCTTGAATAGGATATCCTGCGATGCTTGGAAAGAGAACTGGGGTGACCTGAGTTGTGTCCCCATCCTCTGGGGAAGAACAGGAATATCTCTTAATTAAGACAGTCAGACGTGACTAGAGCATCGCTGTGGGAATGCGCTGTTGAGCTGCAACTTCCCAAACCACTGATTATTGGCCACGCTGACTGGGTGGCTGGGAGCTTGACAATCTCTGGAAGAAGCACAGGTTCCTTCTCCTTCATCAAAGCCATCTTAGGCTGCTGCAAGGGCACTTCTCCTCTGTCACACCCGGCCACATCTAGGCAACTCAACGACTAACTCTTAAGACTCACCACAAAGAGGAAAGAAGGTGGCTTGCCTGCTTTCCTCATCCTGGTACCCAAACAGCCGCCTGGAATGGAATCGAGGTGGAATGGAAAACGGGAGCTATGAATTGGTCCAACATTTTCCTTTCTTTTCTTTTTGTCTTGTCTTTTTTTTAAATCTAGAGACCTCTTCCTAAGATCTTCCCTTATAAAGTGGATAGATGTCTCCATGTCAGGAAAAGACGAGTCTTTAAAGCGACAAGAATCCCTCCCATCAGTGTTTGAGTTTGTGAAGCCAACGTTTTTATTTCAGTGTTTCATTGCCTCCATGCCTTTGATATTACACTGATAAGACCCTTGTTTTTATCCTGCTTACCCCCTCCCCCCAGCCCAATTGAAAAGAGGGCATAAGGCAATATTCTTCTTTTCTTTTTTAAAAAGAAAATGCAGTTTTACTCCAAGGAAAATATCTTTTTTTTAAAAAACAAAAACAAATTGGGAATCATTTTGCAAACGTATATATTGTAAGAATCCTTACAAAATACTGCTAGACTTAACAGGTTGGAAACTCCAGTCGAATTTAATGTACACAAGTGAAATGATAACTGCATGACTTTATAGTACAACAGAGGAATTCTGCTGTACTAAAAGCTTGTTTGAAACATAATTTATTGGCTTGCTGGTCTATTTCAACATTTTGCCTAGCTTTTAAAAAAAAATGAATTGGAAAGAATTTTTTTTAAATCCATAAGTTGGGCAGACAAGGCATTTTAATTAAAACTTGCAGAAGATAACACAAAAGTTTCTGATGTGATGAAGAAAAATGCTTCCATTGAGGGTAGGGAATTTTAATTTATTGTAGCATAGAAAGTGGTTTTTGTTTTGTTTTTTATTGAGAGTCTTGTAGCTGTGATGAAAAAAAAACCTATGCATCTATGCACAGAATATTTCGAATATTATGCAAGTATCACCAGGTCAGTGGAACCTGGAGAAATAATAAGAAGGTGCAACTAATAAGAAAGTGGAGAGTCCTGCCAATGCCCAGCAGAGATCAATGTTTGCTTCAGATTTGTAAGTAAGACATCCCGAATCTGGAAGACCATGTATTCCTGTTTCCTTGGCAGATCAAGACTGAATTTTAGTGCAAGATGCTGAAAGAAAAATGGGCCCATCAAAGAATTGACTCTACAGAAAAAATAGAATTCCAGACTCTGGTCCCATTGCATAATTTGGCCAGGTGCTGATTAGATTGAAAGGAATTTGTTTTCTGGTTTGCACTTTTGACAAGGGGGAACATCTAGCCACCATTCCTTTTGCTTGGATGGTCATGAAGTTGTACATTTGCTGTGATTGGATTTTACCCTGCCCGATTCCTTTTCAAGGTCGTCTAAGGCTAGTTTAAACATCATAATGCCAAGCCACAAAATTACGGTATCGCCGAATAATTGGCAACACCAGTTTAAAAGCAGAATGATTTGTCCACCTTTTGTAACTTCTTATATGGCAAATGTTTGTATTAGCAATACCAGTTAGCAATTACCTGGCCTGCTGAGTTTGCTTTTAGGCTTCATAGGAGGTTTCCAGTGTTTGAGTTCCAGTTTTAAAGTTCAAAGTTCAAAGCCTTTATTGTCATTGTACATCATGTATACAACAAAATTGGTTGAGCCTCTACTGGTGCAGTCCCTACAAGAATACAAGACAACATGAATAATATAAAGAATAATACTTATACAAGTAGTTAGGAAAAAAGTTTTAAATGTTCACCGTCTTAAGATGAGCTTCAACAAACCAATCTCTTGCTTATTTGGGAGCAGATTTCTTTCCTGCTTGGTTTGTTTTCTCCAATTTCCATCTCATCCTTTTTCAAAGTTGCTTCAGGAAGTTTTTTTTTTTTTGTTCTTCTCTGTCTGCTGCTTTTTTCCCCCAAGCTGTGGCTTCTTTGCTGTCCTTTGCTTAAAAGTTAACTGTTTCCATGGCAGGATTTTCACTGTAAAATATTTTCTCAGACAAGTAGCTAGTGGCCATCTCTAGCAGGTGGTGTGGCAGTGGTGACAAATGTGTAAAAGAGAAAGCTTCGGTTTTCCTCATCAAAGACAATTTGATGACTCAACATTTTGATGCCACAGTCCTGTAGATGCAGCAGGTGAAATGTAATTTAGGAAGCATTGCGCTATGCCTGATTCAGAGGTTTATGAGTCTTGGAATGTGATCCAAGACGATCAGATATTTGAACACTAGTTATAATTGCTCTAAAGAGACCAGAGTACATACGGAAAAGGGTTGTTTGAAATCCTGTGGAATCGTTGAAGGGAAGAACATTTAAATTGTGTTTGTGGTTCAAGGCTTTCACCATTTTCAAGGGCACAAAATGGTACAGAATCTTTGAGTTCTCCATACTTAGATCAGCAAAAGAGACAGAGGCGTGTCTAGCCTGAAAGCCACAGTTTACATTTAGTCTCAATTTTAAGATGAAACCTGACAAGATATTGTTAGGCTCTGCCAGGTAATAATAAAGTCGTATCTATCACATACCTTAGGATGTATTTCCTTTAAAAAAAGCTTTTATGAAAAGATTTGACATAGATAAGAAATTCAAAGAAAAGAAATATTTTCGTTTTGACACTATCTGACTGATTTTGTCATCCTGTCAGAAACCTTTTGCGAACAATCCAGATTTTTATCAACCATCAGTACAATGAGTGACTAAGGCATAGCAGCTCATTTTCTGATCAATTGACATGTTGATCATACTTCAGACTACGCATCGCTGACCATGGTGCCTGTAAAATGGACATTGGAAAATCCTGAATGCAAGAGTGACTCTTCTATGATTACAACGGTGGAATAATCTGCAATTATGCTTCCCAACTGCGAAGACAATGGCTAATTGTAGTCCAACATCTCTGGATGACATTCGAATGGGAAGGGTGGTTGATTTTGAGGAATTTCAGAGCCCTGGTAGCTGTTCTTGTTCAAAGAACCATCTCATTTTTCTTCCATGTAGTTTTTGCCACCACTTCCAGGAATTGTTGGCTGTAAATTATAGAACGTTCTAGAACTGGAATGTCGCCTACCAATGATTCAAACTGGGTGTCTTGATGTCAATCATTGCTTTTTCAACAAGGAGCAGCAGTCACGCCAACAAGAGTTGGTGCTTCACTTACCCCCGTTATGGTCCTCTGCATCCTGTAACCAAATAAAAGTGCCAAATCCCCTTATCCAATTGATTCATTTAACCCGTCTTCTTTGGGGAACTTGTTTTGGGAATATTTGAGAAGTACAATAGGTGTAGAAGAACGCTAAGGGTCACTACCAACAAGTATGTTCAAATCTTTGGACCTGAGGTTTGTTTAAAAACAACAACATTGGGCTGGAGCTTTAAGATTTGGGTGCTCATCCTGAAGTAGCAAGAAAGATCGCTGCCAGACATAATTGGATTACATTTTGGATCTGACACTGAAAAAGAAAACAATTCTTTATTTTTCTCTTCCTCTCATTTGCTGCAAACTCAGGTACCAGTTCTCGCATGGCATCTCAAACCCTCTTTGTTTCAACCATTTTATTATACCAACTGTAAGGATTTTTTAAAGTATATCCTACTAAATAAACGGGCCGAGCAGCATGTTGAGTTCCCACCAGGCTTCCCTGATCTCATGTTTCATTTTCCTTTTATTGAGGACTTGACAGAGTTCATGCACATTTGGATCCGTTTCTGCTTAGTATTTGTGAGTTCAGTTAAACCAACTCTAGCATGAAAACCTTCCCAAAGGAGGACATTTTAACTGACAAAAAAAAAAAAAGAGAGATAAATTGTACTGGAAATATAGAAACCCACAGTCTGTTGTATTTTGACAGAATTATTTTTATTAAAATATGCATCTCTGTGCACTTGCCTGTGTCCCGTCTCACTCGCTTCCACTCCATTCTGGTGCTTGTGTGCGTTGTCTATCGAGGGAAGAACTTTATTCTACGCGGTTAGTCCTTGAACGTACAACCATAACTGAGCCAACATTTCCATTGCTAAACCAGAGTGGAAAGGCCTATTGCCAGCCAGTGGTGTATGAGCTAGGTAAACCCTCACTGACCTTTGTCAAAACTGCCTGGCCCCCTCTGTATGTTCAAATGTGTGAGTTTGTGTTAGTTCATATCTATATTCTCAGTTGTCATTTGTATCTGATTGTAGAGAAGTACAGGAGGCATGTTTTGTAGTGATATTTTGGATTACTGCATCATCTGAAATAGGATGAAGGCAAGCTTTACCAGGTGAAACTGCCATCAGAATGTACATCCATTTTCATAGATTGGACATTTGTTCCTTTATTTTTTTTATGATAACCCAGTATGATGGAAAAATGAGAGCTTGTTTGTGTTGTCTGTTGAGGGAAGAACTTTTGTTCTACATGGGTAGTCCTCAGTTTATGACCACAATTGTTCTATATGGGTAGTCCTTGGTTTATGACCAACATTTCCATTGCTTAAGCCAGACAGCTGTTAAGTGAGTTAAAAGTCAAGAGTGCTGTTGCCAGCCAGTGGCAATGTGAGTTCCAATCTTTGGGTGACTTACGGTGTCAAATAAGAATCAAGGTAAATATTGCCATTAATCTAAAACTGATGGAGCAGTTAACATAAAGACTAAAATCAAGCATGACCCTACAATTAAAATTCTGATGTCTTCATTTTCATTATTTTTAGCAGAAGGCATACATTGTTAGATCTCAGCACCCTATTTAGTTGGGAATCTTGTTGTACCACAAGCATTTTAATCATCCTGCTTTCTATTAATCCATGACAAGGAAATAAAATGTGTGTCTCCCAACCAGACGCTGTTTAACTGCAACAGCCAGCATGACTCACCACAAGGCACGATGACTATAACTCTAAAGGCCTGAGACTGAGACCATCGATTTCCCCCTTTCTATCTATAATGTTCAATAATAACTTGTTTGGAAGTTATGGCTTAAATGTACGTGCCCTTCCCTGGTCACCTCAGATGCTCTTGGGGCAAGGTAGATGGCAAAGACAACACTTGAAAGGACAGATCT